ATAAATAAATATTTTTAATATAAATTATATTTTAGATTTATGATAAATAATTTATATTGTAATTTTTTATTTTAAAATATTAACATCTAATTAATAAATAATTATAATAAATAAAAATTGAATTAGATATGAAGTTAAAAAAATTCATACAAACCCTCTCATTGAAATATATTAACTATATTTATCAAAATTTTAAAATATAATTTATACGTTTAAAAATACATATTTATATAAATTTTAAATATATTTAATATATTTAAATATAATATTTATATATATATATATATAATTTATTATAAATTTTAGTTACATATAATAAATATATAGTATATATTTAATTTGTGCATTACATATTCTAAAATATTAGTTATATATGAAACATAAATTTTTATCTTACGTGATAGTGTTTTTAAGAACATTTCTTCAACGAGAAAACTTTTAGAATTTTTTTTTTTTTTTTATGATAAAACGGGGTTACAAACCCAAAAGGAGAAAATTACACATGATCTTCACCCAAATGAGTGAGATTATAGAGAGTATTTGCAACAAAAGTGGAGGAGACTCAAAAATACACATGTCATCCTCAAAGAGAAAGACCAAACTTTGCGAAAGAATCAGCAGCCGTGTTGCTTTACCTACTAATAAGAACCCACTTGGTCTCTTGGGTTTGTTGAGAAAGGGAGTTGATTGAATCCACTAGCTGTTTGGATTGTCCAAGCTCACTCCCCCCATTAATCATAGATAATGTCTGGGAAGAGTATGATATGATATAAATGTGAGTAAATCCTTTAGCTAAAGCTAATCTTAACCCATGAAATATGCTCTAAAGTTCTGACTGAACAACAGAATTGGCTTCTAGAGAAAGAGCAAACCCCCCTGCATACATGCCTGAATGATTAATAAGCAAGCCTCCACAAGCAGTCTTATTGGTTCGGTGTGAATGTGCTCCATCGCAATAAACATGAACCCAAGGAGACCTCTGAGATGGGACTGTAAGGATCTCCCTACATTGAAACCTTGAAATGCTCGTAAGGTCTCTTTTAGCATGGCCAATATCCTCAACATATCTACTCTTCTTCGTCAAAATGATGGAGTTCAACTCCCATTTGTCTAAGAAGACTAATTCATTCCTGCGTCTCCAAATAAGGTCCACCATAACACTGAAATCAATGTTCCAACTCCCTCTCTTAATAGAGTAATCATCTAAATTATGAAGGATCCAAAGTTGAATATCCATGTCATCAAAGAAAGTCTCATGAGATTGGAATAAGAGTTTTCGCCAAAGGAGTTCAGTGGGAGGGCAATCCCTTAACACATGGAACGTCGTCTTAGGTTGCGATTGACAAACAGGACATAAATTACATTTTGCCATGCGTCTCCTACTACGATTCTCATTAGTTAGAAGAGCATTATGCACAATCCTCCACAAGAGCAATCTGATTCGTTGCGGTCCTGGCCACTTCCATATGAGCTTAAAGACTTGAGGGTGTTGAGGGGGAGTGAGGTTATGGGCACTTAGAGAGGAAATGGCTGATTTGACAGAAAAGACACGATCCTGTGAAGGTTTCCAAAGGAGACAATCAGGTTCACAAGACATGTTGCGAGGCGAGATTGTGGAAATAATATTACAAATGTTAAGTGGGAGCACAGATAGTAAGCCAGTATAGTTCCATTGCCCATTCTCTGTAACCATGTCACGAACCTTCCAGTTTAATTGTTGTTCTGAGAGGGAAGAAATAGCCTTATGACAGAGAGGTCCCACCGTTGGGATCCAATTATCCTTCCAAAAGCAAATAAGATTTCCTTTACCAAGCTTCCAAACAACGTTGTCGATAAATAAATTCCAAGAATGCGAGATTTCTCTCCAACAGTTCGAGGATTCTTGATTATGAGACATGATTGGGACTAGATTAGGTACACATTTATATTTGGATCTAAGCACTTGAACCCATAGATCAGATTGCTTCGTACAGATTTCCCAAGCCAGCTTGAGCATGAAACCTCATTAAGGATTCTGGTGGGTCTGAGACCTAAACCCCCTACTTTCTTAGAGGTACACAACTTGTCCCACGCAACCATGTGGACTCCCCTATGATTAGAATTCCCACCCCAAAGAAATCTACGACAAATTTTATCAAGCTCATCACAAATGGATCGAGGGATAATTAAAAGTGGATTGCATGATGTAGGAGGGGAGAGCCGCTAGAACAGATTGTGTAAGTGTCAATCTACCAGCTAGGGAGAGGGTACAGGCTTTCCAAGAGCTTAATCTATTTTCCACTCTGTCAATAACACTTGCAAAAGTAGCTTTGCTGACCTTGGAATGAAGCAGGTTAACACCCAAGTACTTGCCCAGGTTAGAGGTGGATTCAAAACCGAGCCCGTGACTGAGTTCTAGTTGAGACTGCATAGGGACATTTTTTGAAAAGAAAACACGTGTCTTGTCCTTGCTAACACGTTGACCAGAACTAGAACAAAAAGTGTTAAGACAATCATTGATGAGGTGCATTTGTTCCATGTTAGCTTCTGCCAGTAAAACCAAATCATCAGCAAAAGCTAGGTGGGACAAGGAAGGCCCATCTTTGGAAATACGGATTGGCTTCCAGACCTTGGATCTCAACTTATCTTCTATGAGCTGCGATAATCTTTCCACACACATGACAAATAAATATGGGGAGATGGGATCTCCCTGCCTGAGACCTCTAGATGGTTGGAAAGCTTCAAGGGCCTCTCCATTCCAAAGAACCTGCATAGAAGAAGAAGTGATACATCCTTGTAGAATATCAATCAGATTGCATGGGTAACCAATGTCATTAAGTTTATCAATAACAAATTCCCAATATAAACGGTCGTAGGCTTTCTCAAGGTCTATTTTGATGGCCATCCATCCCACCTTACCCCTCTTGGTCTTCATAGAATGTATAACTTCTTGCATGATTATAATATTATCCCTACTGTGGTGGTTGGGGACAAAACTGCATTGAATCGGGCTGATTAAGTCTTGCATCACCACCTTAAAATGTTGAGCTAGAACCTTAGTTAGCACTTTGTAAGAAACATTACAAAGGCTTATTGGGCGAAAGTGTGTCAGTTTAGTGGAGGGTTCAATTTTGGGAATAAGACTAATCAACGTCTTATTGATGGATTGAATTTTGCTCAGGTCCCTGAAGCATGTTTGGATCAATTGGCAGAGAGAAGATCCCACCACTTCCCATTGATGCTTGTAGAAGACCGCATGCAGGCCATCCTCCCCTGGAGCTCTAAAATTAAGCATGCTAAAGAGAGTCTTCTTGATCTCGACATAGGAAGGATCTTTAGAGAGCTGTTGTAATTTTAAACTATCTAGTTTAGGGAAGCGTTGCATGATGGGAAAGGGACGATAGCCTTTAGAAATTATTTTAAAGACAAGACTTATGTACAGTTCCTTAGGTACAGTTAATGTTATTCTCCAACTAAAATTAATGTTTTATTTTTTTTAGAGGAATTAATGTTTTATCTTGATATTATACACTTGTATTTAATACAGGTTTCATTAATATACATTTATGCATACTACCAAGGTAAAACTTCAACTCTAATCGATAAATAACACTAATCACACCTAAAGCATTGTAACACCCTGAATTTTCTACTAATATAATATTAATTATTATTTATTTTTATATTTATGAAGATTATCTTTTTATAGTTATTTTAGTTAATTAAAGGGGTTTTATAGAATATTGTAAAGGTTTGTAATAATTTAAATTATTTACAAAATTTTTTATATAAAATTATATTTTTTTAGGCCA